AACCTTCATCTACCCGAATTGTCGACGTATGCCTAATATAAACCTTATCCTCTCCTACTGGGTACTCCGTTAACATGTGGTCCATATCCATAGGTACCCCAAAATGTTGAGGAGAATCATTTATGGTCGGGGGTCCGAAATGATTAATAACAACAACAATGAGATAAAACTCAATAAGTAAACTCCCTAAGCCTCGCTTAGGGTAACACGTACCTCCGAACAATCCTAAACATGCAATTCTAGCATCTAACATGCCATGAACAACCATAAGTACCCTTACCTCGCCTTAGCACATACAATACAATTCCTGGCATAAATGTGTGTAACACAATTAACAATCTAGGCATATTCAACATCGATTTCAGGCACATAGCATTTCCCAATACATAAAACACGCATAGTTATCCAGATTATTAACGACCCCTTGGGCTACATCGAACCCCCACTGGTCTTTTGATCTAGCTAGGCATCGTCCCGCTACTTCAGGCATGGCAATGTCTGGGATCGAACACCACCCGGCAAGCCGGGTACCAAATGGCATTCCATTAAGAAGCATCGGTCCGACCTCCACCGCGACACGGTATCGTCTAGAACCCCTCGCCTAGACGGCATCCAAACTTCTGCCGGGTATCGTCTAGAACCCCTGCCTAGACAGAACTATCACGACCATGCACACACATCATTCACTCAATGCCAATTCTTATCTTTGCGATTAACCAAAGTATAGTGTTTATGACGTGCAAATCTCTACGAACGAACGTGTCATGAACGCACTCGTTTCAATAGTAAACATCATTAACTAATCATAATTAGCCATTGAATCATATGATTAGCCATGATTAACCACACGATCTATTATCAAGCCACATGATTAACATCTTTCCATATGATTTACCATCAAATAACCATGATCAGCCATCAACCACCATGATCAATCACAATTAAGCAAGATCAAGCAATCTAAGCCACATGATTAATTATTAGCACATGATCAACTAATACAAGCCACATGATTAACTATGATCACATGATCAACCAATCCAAACCACATGATCAACAATCAAAAACATGATCAACCAATAATCAACCATATGATTGCCCTAAACACATAATCAGTCAAATAAGCCACATGATTAACATTAAGCCACACGATTAACCCAAATCAGCCCTAAATCAACCCACAATTAACCATTAATCAACCCACAATTAACCACTCATAAGCCTAATCACCCATCAGCCTATTCAAGGTTTAGGAAGTTACTTACCACTAAACTAAGCTAACTTAAGCTAACAAGGGGTAGCAACCAGCAGCGGCGAGTGGCACCACAAGCGGCGGACGATGGCAACGGTGGATGGTCATGACATGAACGACGACTAGAGGTGGTGGTCCACGTGTGGTGGTGCTGGTGGTGGCGTGATGGTGGTGGCTGGTCGGTGATGGTGGTAGATAGTGGGGTTTTAGCTGAACAAGAGGGAGAGTGAGAGTGAATAAGTGAAATGGCTAATATGAAAGTAATGGAGGAGAGAGAGAATAGGCTAGTAACTCTATCCAAAATGAAGGGCTAGGGTCACTCCTTGGTCCCTAAGTCAAATCCAAAGGCCACAATTCAATCTTTCAAGACAAGCCAAATAGGGGCAAACAAGAAAATAACAAAAAGACAAGGGGGTAAATCTGTCCTATGCTGGTCGGCCACACTAGGGAGGGCACAAAGGACCAAAATGCCCTTCCACATAACAAAGAGATCCTAAAACACTTAGGGGTAAAAGGGCCTTTTTTCCAATTTCCGGTCCGAATTTCACTTTTCCAAAAATTTCCAAGCGAACCGATAACTAGGTGAGCTTAATGAGGTGACATCCAATAGATTAGTCTTGATATCCTTGAAAGTTCAATACCCAAGTTCGGATTCTAATTCATGGCCAAAATCGATCAATTGCGACTTTAGTGTATCTCCAACTAATGGGCAGCTTTTAGGAGTTACACGTATTCGACCCATGGTTGATTGGATATCAAGCCATGTTTAAGTTTACTCAATCCATAGTGACTTCGGTTGTCATGTAATTGAGAGGGTAAATCACTAGTTCCGAAGGACATGATTATTAGGAATTGGTCTAGGGTCGTTTGAAATCCATACAATGATCAAACGGAATAACCCGTGATTCAATTGTATAATATTGGCAAATCGTTTCATAACCATCTCTCGATCGGTCTATAATGGTCCAAAATTCTCCCTCGTCAATCCTTATGGTCGAAGTGTCAAACCATGGTTGAGTCCTTAGGTTGTGCGTACTTAATTCCTAATTAGCATTTCCCTAATAGTTAGTTTTCTCGTGAGTGATCAATTCTGAGCGAGATTTAACTAAAAGTGCATCGATGAAATATTCATTTCATAAATCTTGAAAAGGGTCGAAATTCAAAATGTCACAACTCTTCCCCCCTTACAAAAATTTCGTCCTCAAAATTTACAACCAACTTAATTTCTCAAATAAATAGGAGTGCTGACGCCTCATCACTTCTTCACTTTCCCATGTGGCTTCTTCTGTTCCGTGATGGTGATGCTGCCAAACTACTTTAACTAACAGAATCGTCTTGGTTCACAAAACTTGTTCTTTTCTGTCCTCTATCCAAATAGGTTTCTCCACATACGACACTCTGGCGTCCACATCTATCTCTTCATAATTCAGCACATGGGTCGGATCCAATTGATATTTCCTTAGAATGGACACGTGGAAGACATTGTGAACTTGAGCCAAATTCGGCGGCAAGGCTAAGCGATAAGCCAAGATGCCAATTCGTTCCAAGATTTCAAACGGTCCAACATATCTTGGGCTTAGTTTTCCTTTCTTGTCGAATCGCGAAGTTGCTCGCATTGGTGACACCTTGAGAAAAACATGATCTCCTACTTGAAATTCCAAAGGCCTTCGTTGTTTGTCTGCGTAACTCTTTTGATGACTTTGAACTGTCTTAAGCCTTTCTCTGATGACTTTAACTACCTCGACTAACTGCTGTACTAATTCTGGACCTGTTATACTTCTTTCACCAACTTCATCTCAGTATACTAGAGTGTTGCAGGCCCTACCATACAATGCTTCAAATGGCATCATCCTGATACTCTGTTAATAACTGTTATTGTAGGCGAACTCGACGAGATGTAATCGTTCTTCCCATCCTCCTTTGAATTCCACTACATAAGCCCGCAATATATCCTCGAGTGTCTAATCGTTCTCTTAGACTGACCATCCGTCTGCCAATGATAGACTATGCTATATTGCAGATTCGTCCCCATAGCCATCCGAAGACTTTTCCAAAAGGTGACGGTAAACTTAAGGTCTTGATCCGACGTGATCGTAACTGGTATTCCGTGAAGACGGACTATTTATCGCATATACAGCTCAGTGGACCTATCCATTGCGAAGTCCTTCCGTACTGCTAGAAAATGCGCTGACTTGATCAATCTGTCGACTATAACCCAAATTGAATCATGGCCTCTTTGGCCCCTTGATAAGCCCATGATGAAGTCCATCATGATATGCTCCCACTTCCACTTTGGGATTTCTAATGGTCGCAACAGTCCTCCAGGCTTACAATGCTGCGCTTTACTTGCTAGCACGTTAAACAGTTAGCTACGTGCTTGTCCACGTCCACTTTCATTTTGTTTCATTAATATTGCTGACGCAAATTTTGATACATCTTGGTACTACCTGGATGAATACTGTAATTGCCTACGATGAGTTTCTGTTAAGATTTCCTTCTTAAGCTCTACGTCACTGGGCATGCACAATCATCCATGAAACTTGAAAGTCAGGTTTTCTCTTAGCTGCATCCATTTGCATAATCTTTTGAATGACAGGGTCCGTGGATTGTAATGCCTTAATCCTAACCTAAATCTCCGGTTCAATCCTTAAGGTAGCTAACAAACTTGAGAGGTGTCCTACCTCAAACTTAAATTTCAAATTTCTTACTCCCTCGAGCATAGTCTATTCCTTGACCATTATCTGCGCGATGCTCGACTTCCAATTAAGTGCATCCGCAACCTTGTTAGCCTTCCCAAGATGGTACAGAATGTCACAGTCGTAATCCTTCAGAAGTTCCATCCATCGGCGCTATCTCATGTTCAACTCATTTTGGGAAAACAAGTACTTTAAACTTTGATGATCCGTGTAGATTTGAAACCTTTCTTAACACAAATAGTACCTCTAAATCTTTAACGCAAAGATAAAGCTGCCAGTTCCAAGTCGTGCATTGGATAGTTTAGCTTGTGAGACCTTAATTGTCGCGATACATATGTAACCACTCTTCCACGTTGCATTAGAACATATCCTTATCCCTTTAGCGATGCATCACTATAATCTCATATCCCCCTGGACCTGATGGTATTGTCAATATAGGGGCGGTAGTCAACTTGTGTTTGAGCTCTTGAAAACTTCTTTCGCGCTTATTCGACCATTTGAACCTTGTTTCCTTCTTTAGTAAGCAAGTCAAGGGAGTGGTTATTGTGGAGAACCTTTCCACGAATTGTCTATAATAACCCGCAAGTCCTAGGAAGCTCCGAACTTCCGTCACTGTCGTCGGTCTCGGCCAATTCATGACTGCCTCTATCTTAGTAGGATCCACTTAGATTCCATCCCCATAGATCACATGTTCAAGAAATGCTACCCGATTGAGCCAGAACTTGCACTTACTAAACTTGGCGTAAAGTGTGTTCTTTTGAGGTCTGTAGAACCATCATCAAATGTTGTTCATGCTCTTCAAAGCTCTTCAAGTATACTAAAATGTCGTTGATGAACACGGTGACGAATTGATCCAAGAACTCTTTGAATAGCAGATTCATCAAATCCATGAAAGCTGCTGGGGTGTTAGTCAATCCAAACGACATAACGGTAAATTTATAATGTCCGTATCTTGTACGAAACGTCATTTTCGATATATCCTCCTTCTTGATCATTAACTGATGGTAGCCCATCCTTAGGTCCGTCTTGGAGACTATCGAAGCCCCTTGTAGTTAATCGAATGAGTTATCTATTCTTGGCAATGGATACTTGTTCTTGATGGTCACTTGGTTCAATTGCCGATAATCGATACACAAATGCAACGAACTATCTTTATTCCTTACGAACAACACTGGTGCTCCCCATGGTGATACACTAGGGTGAATGAATCCCTTATCAAGCAGCTCTTGCATCTGTACCTTCAATTCCTTTAACTCTGACAATGCCATATTGTAGAGTGCTCTAGAGATTGGCTCCGTTCTAGGGGCCAACTCAATCACAAATTCCACTTCTCTCTCAAGTGATAATCCCGGTAATTCCTGAGGAAAGACATCAAGAAAATTACATACCTCGGCTATGTCCTCTAGCCTTGCTTCCTCAACCAACGAGTCAACCACAATCGCCAGGTAACCTTGGCATCCTTCGTCCAACAACTTAGTCACCTCAAGCGACTAAATCCAAGGGATCGAGGTTCCTCCTCGACTTCCTACAAACTCATATCTAGAATGACCAATCGGATTAAATTGGATCACCCTGCTACTACAGTCCATCATAGCCTTTTGCTTCACCAGCCAATCCATCCCAATGATAACATCAAAGTTGTACATCGCTAAAACTGCCAAGTCTATCATTTCCTTCCTACCACCAATAACTAACTTACACCCTGGACATCCTACTGAAATTAGCACTTCATCCTTAAGAGAGGTGGTAACACGCAAAATTACTTCTAACAATTTCAGTTTAATCCCAGTTAATCTAACAAATTGCTCAGACACAAACGAATGTAAAGCGCCCGAATCAATCAAAGTATAGGCAGCATGATCACATTAAAAGACAGTACCTGTGATCACGCGAGGCACATCCTCCGCCTCCCTTCGGCCCATAGCATAGACTCTTCCTTTTGCCTGCAGCCGATTTTGTTTATTCTGGGAAGTAGTTCCAGCTTGCTGTTCTACTCGCGTTTGTTGCGGTTGCATTGGCGGTCTAGCTGATCGGCTCGGACAGTCTTTCACTTGATGACCATGTTGGCCACATCTATAGCAAGCTCCAGTCTTACATGGGCAAGGGCCATTCCCATGCTTCCTTCCATAAGATCGGTATGTGGCATTAGAGTAGTATGCCGGTTTCCTAATATTCTTCTTAACAAGAGGGACAAAACATCTATTTTCAGTCATAGGCTTTTTTCCAAAGCGCTGGTTGTCCCTAGCTAGCACATACCGTGATCCAGATGCGGCAGCCCACTCAATCGTGTGCCTTTCGATCAGTTGAGCCCTCTCGTAAAGCTCATTGTAATCCCTCAGATTTAGGGGCACCAACTGGCTTATGATCTCCGGTTTCAGACCATCCCGGAATCTCTTTACCCTATCCACTGGGTCTTCGACCATTCTTGGTGCGTACTTAGACAACCTTGCAAACTTAGCCTCATACTGATCGACTGACGACTAACACTGCCAAAGTCGAAGAAATTCTACCATTTTCCGTTCCCGAGCACATTTTGAAAAGTATTTCCCATTGAAGGCTTCAACAAAGGCATCCCAGTTCGGAATCGTACCTTCCGAAAGACCCTTCCTCGGGTGGCCTCCCACCAATCACTAACATTACCTTGAAGCTGATACACAGCTAATGTCACCTTTTCTTCCTCTGAACACTGCAATAGCGTGAATGCTTTCTCAAGTTCCTGAACCCAAAGTGTTGCAGCTTTGGGATCACCCTTTCCATCAAACTTGGGTGGTTTTAGCTTTAGAAACTATTCTACTATCTGGTGTATCTGACGATCCCCATTTTCATTTCCCTTATCACCATTAATAGCGGCAGTAGAGGCCTCAGCAGCTTCAGTGACAGCAGTAGCTCGTTCTTGAGCCTGCCGTCCCATTAAATCTCTAATCACTTTAAAGGCTAGCAAGACCCCATCCACTCGAGGGGTCCTCAGTAGCTCCTGCTTGCCTACTGGGCTGGCCCCTATTTCCCCTTCCTCGGTTGCTCACCTCACAGGATACTTGCAAAACACCTAAGTGTGCTACAATTCTATCAAGGAATTAGAGACATAAGTCGTCTATTTGAGGCAAGCAACTCTAAGCAACGAATCACAACAACAATCATAAAGCAAGCAACCACCAAACAGGCATTATGATTACACAATCAATAGAGGTTTGCTCTTACCTTTCTTCCTATAGCACCTGCAATCACGGTTAATAACACGAAAACACTCAGCAATCACAAGCACATACTCTCAGGGCATTCATTAAACAATCTAAACTTGTGATCAAAACAGGTCTCAATTAGCTAACTATCCCAAAAGCCATCGCTCATTATCACTCCAAGTCTCGACCAGACTTGGATCAAGCCATTATATAACGTACTGTCAACCCCAAGAAGATACCATTTACAAGCCTGACTAAAGGCCACTTCCTATAAGACTACTTGCATACACAAAAAGGCATCGGTAGTCGAGTTGACTTAGCTCCTCTATCAATAGGGACGGTCCAAAAAGGATGAGGTATCCAAACCCATCATTAATCCCCATGATACCCCAGAGGCATTCCTAGATCAAACTCTAAATAATCCAGCTCAGAATATGAACTCTTGGTTCCAGTGTCAGGATTAGTGACGGCTCCGTCGGGAGGATCTATCTCCATGGGATCCCACTCGGCAACTCCCAAACCACCATCATGGGGAACATCAAAACCTCGAAGAGGACCAAACAAAACATCCCCCTCTCGATAAAACCAGGCCTAAAAGGTATGTGGCTTCCACAACGCCAAACCTTCATCCACCTAAACCGTCGACGCATGCCTAATATAAACTTTCTTCTCTCCTACTGAGTACTCCGTTAATATATAGTCCATATCCATAGGTACCCCGAAATGTTGAGGAGGATCACTCATGGTCGGGGGTCTAAAATGGTTAATAACAACCACAATGAGATAAAACTCAATAAGTAAACTCCATAAGCCTCACTTAGGTTGACACGTATCTCCGGACAATCCTAAACATGCAATTCTAGCATCCAACATGCCATGAACAACCACAAGCACCCTTAGCTCGCCTTGGCACATACAATACAATCCATGGCATAAATGTGTGTAAGACAATTAACAATCTAGGCATATTCAACATCGATTTTAGGCACATAGGATTCCCCAATGCATAACACACGCATAGTTGTCTAGATTATTAACGACCCTTTGGGCCACACCGAATCCTCGCCGGTCTTCCGATCTAGTCGGGCATTGTCCCGCTACTTCGGGCACGGAACGTTTGGAATTGAACACCACCCGGCAAGCCAGGTACCAGACATTATTCCATTAAGGAGCATCGATCTGGCCTCCACTACCACACGGCATCGTCTAGAACCCTCACCTAGACGGCATTCGAACTTCCGCCGGGTATCGTCTAGAACCCCTGCCTAGACGGAACTATCATGACTATGCACACACATCATTCACTCAATGCCAATTCTTATCTTCGCAATTAACCAAAGTGGAGTATTTATGACATGCAAATCTCTACGAGCGAACGTATCATGAATCGCACCCGTTTCAATATCAAATATCAGTAACTAATCATAATTAGCCATTGAATCACATGATTAGCCATGATTAACCACACGATCTACTATCAAGCCACATAATTAACATCTAACCATATGATTTACCATCAAATAACCATGATCAGCCACCATGATCAATCATAATTAACCAAGATCAACCAATCCAAGCCACATGATTAACTATTAGCACATAATCAACCAATCCAAGCCACATAATTAACTATGATAACATGATCAACCAATCCAAACCATATGATTAACTATTGAACCACATGATCAACAATCAAAAACATGATCAACCAATAATCAACCACGTGATTTCCCTAAACACATGATCAGCCACATAAGCCACATGATTAACATTAAGCCACACGATTAACCCAAATTAGCCATACCCTAATCAACCCTAAATCATCCCACAATTAACCACTAATCAGCCCCTAAACTAGTCCATTAGTCACCCATCAACCTAATTAAGGTTTAGGAAGTTAGTTACCACTAAACTAAGCTAACTTAAGCCAACAATAGGCAGTAACCAGCAGCGGCGAGTGGCGGCACAAGTAACGAACGGTGATGACGATGGCTGGTCATGGCGTGAACGGCAGCTAGAGGCGGTGGTCCACGTGTGGTGGTACTGGTGGTGGCTAGTCGGTGATGGTGGTGGATGGTGGGGTTTTGGCCGAACAAGACGGAGAGTGAGAGAGTAAGTGAGTGAAATGGCTGATTTGAAAATAATGAAGGAGAGAGAGAATGGGCTGGTAACTTTATCCAAAATGAAAGGCTAGGGTCACTCCTTGTTCCCCAAGTTAGAGATCCAAAGGCCACAATTCAATCTTCCAAGACAAGCCAAACAAGGGCAAACAAAAAAATAACAAAAGACAAGAGGGGCAAATCTGTCCTATGCTAGTTGGCCACACTAGGGAGGGCACAAAGGACCAAAATTCCCTTCCACACAACAAATAGATCCTAAAACACTTCGGGATAAAAGGGCCTTTTCTAATTTTCGATCCGAATTTCACTTTTTCAAGAATTTCCAAGCGAACCGATAACTGAGTGAGCTTAATGAGGCGACGTCCAATAGATTAGTCTTGATATTCTTGAAAGTTCAATACCCAAGGTCGGATTCTAATTTATGGCCAAAATTGATCAATTGCGACTTTAGTGTATCTCTAACTAACGGGCAGTTTTTAGGAGTTACGCGTATTCAACTCGTGGTTGATTAGATATCAAGCCACATTTAAGTTTATTAAAGTTATGGTGACTTTGGTTGTCATGTAATTGAGAGGGTAAATCACTAGGTCCGAAGGACATAATCATTAGGAATTGGTCTAGGGTCGTTTGAAATCCATACAATGGTCAAACGGAATCACCCGTGATCCAATTGTATAACATTGGCAAATCATTCCATAACCATCTTTCAACCGCTCTATAATGGCCCAAAATTGTCCATCGTCAATTCTTATGGTCAAAGTGTCAAACCATGATTGAGTCTTTAGGTCGTGCGTACTTAATTCCTAATTAGCTTTTCCCTAACGGTTAGTCTTATCTTGAGTGATCAATTCTGAGCGAGATTTAACTAAAAGTACATCAATGAAATAGTCATTTCATAAATCTCGAAAATGGTCAAAATTCAGAATGTCACAAAAGGCTTGGGTACTTGTTTGAGCTAATCAACCTTAAACATCAAGTGAGCATGATTCGGGCTTTAGCTCATTTTTGGGAGGACACTACAGCCACATTCTTACTTGGTAAACATGAGATGGTATCGACTTTGAAGGAATATAAAGCTACTGTTGGAATGGATTTTAAACAAAGGATCATAGAACCCCTGATTGGATTAAAACCCGAGAGTATTATAACTGAATTTCTTAACTTGAAAACTTCCCAAGTTGAGAAATTGATCAAGACAAACACCAGACGATTCCCCTTATCCTTCTTAATAGCAAATTATTCCAAATTACCAAAAGAGACAGGAAACACTTCTACAACGGTTTTTATTCTAGCCTTTTTTGGGTTTATCCGATTTCTTGTGTCCAGAGTCGGGTTGGATCCTTTAGTGGCAATAATCGCAAGGCAGGCTTGCCTCAAGTGGGATTTTTCTAATATGCTTCTAGCGGAGACTATCATCTCTCTAAACAAGTTCCAAAGCAAAGGGAAGGGTGTATTCCAAGCCTCTACCAGATTGCTTTCCATATGGTTCATTTCTCCTATTCAGCCGTGGGGACTCTATATAAGTATTCGACAAATTTGTTCGGTGATCAACCCCATTGAGAGGTACATTAAAATCCAAGAGAAATTACCAAAATATTCTTTCCACGAATAGGCTAATTTCATTAGGGTATTAACTCCCGATCAGTTCCGATGGCAGACAGTTGGCCGAAGATAGCCAAAGCTTGAATTACTTGTCAAGAAGGCAATATGGTGCCATTACTTAGTTTAAATGGTAAATCGCTTATTGCCCATTAAGGGTCGTACGACAATTTGGAATGATTCAGCAGAGATCACCCATTTGGCATCTCAAGGAGTTCACATTTGAGATGCCAAGAGGACCCTTACCAAAGAAAGAAATGAGAAAGCTACAAAAGAGGGTTGACAAGATCGTTGATTCCTTGAAGAAATCATCCGAACAAATAGTGAAATGACCCGAAGGCTTGAAAGGAAAAATGAAGCTCTACTTGGCATCAAATGAATACATTAAATGGATAGAGGATAAACGTCCAATTGACGTCGAACCATATATGCCATTGAGTGTTACCCCAAACCTTGATGAGCCATATATTCTAGAATACATCATGCCAAATACACCCGGTGTGGAGCCATACATTCCCAAGGAAGTGGTGATCGATGTAGAAGAATGGGAGGCTCTAATTAAAGAATGGGATGAATATGAAAAGGTTAAAGCTACCTTAGTTAGCAAGAAGCCTAGATTTGATTGAACTAGTACCCTTGTTTTGATTTGAAGCATTGTAATGCAAGCTTTCAAAATTGAAACAATCATTTGTCAAATAAAAGTTTGATGAAATTTTGATCACATTTTGAAAAGAAATCACCATGGATTAAGATTCTTTGAATTGTATGATTTCTTGAAATAAACATTCATAACAAGTTTTGCACAAAGCTAAGGCTTGTCTAAAAGTTCTTATCCTTATTAATCGAAAAGAAAGCATACAATTGAAAGAATGTAGGTCATAAATGTTATTTCACCATATTAATGTTTCATATCTTTAACGAAGGTGAAATAACAACGGAAGAAAGGAGAACACGAACTCGGACTCGTTTGCAAACAAGCAGAAGAAGAAACTTGCAACAGCTTGGCGGAGGTTGAGAATCAAATGACCCAAATGGCCGCCACGATGGCCGAAATGAAGGCCTTTATTATAGCTGCAAGAGGATCTTATCCCATGACTCCAAATGCTAGAGAATCGTCTCAAGATAACAAGAATCGAAACAAGAAGTCGATTCAAGAAAACCCGCCAAAGATAACACCCGAGGTTGTGAATTTAGACGAAGATGGTACATCAAAGAAAACTCCCTCTAAAGCCAAGGATGAGGAAGAAGCCAAGAGGTTGGCTAAAATTGAGGAATGTCTAGCAAGCCAAGGCTACGAATTGCAAAGATTTGATAAATTCTCGCCATATGCAAAGGTCATTTTCCTAGAAAACTACAAGGAATCGGAGTTCGTAAGCAAATATGATGGAACCGAATATCCCAAAAGCCATTTGAAATATTATCTCTGTAAGATAGCGAGGTATTCAAATAACACGCCTCTTCTCATTAGTACTTTCCAAGTTAGTCTCAAAGGAACAGCTCTGGCATGGTATATTGCTCTAGACATCGAGGATTTCTGTGAATGGGATCATTTGGCCGATGAGTTTCTATGTCAATACAAATTCAATGTTGAAGCACTCCCGATGAAGGAGGATCTCATGAGAATGGAGAAGAGGAGAAACGAAAGATTTCGGATCTTCACCCAGAGGTGGAAAGCTGTCGCCTCGCAATTTAAACCCGCAATCAATGAGGATGAGCTGATTGAGCTCTTTCTGAAGTCCCTTCCATTTGAGTATTATGACAAACTTCATGTCTCTG